GGCCACTGCGGAAAGGGGATGAGGCAGCCCAAGGCAGCACCGTGCTGAGGTTGGCCATGACTGAGGGAGTTCAGGCTGGGATGGTTGGAAAAGTCCTGCCAGGAAAAGTGCGGGGCTGGATTCGACCATCTTGCTGGAGCCGGCGGCTGAAGGCATTCAGCGCTCCACAACGCGGAAGCCGGCCTGCGGCACTGTTCGGCACACAAATGCCAAATTTGCCACGGCTGGAGGGTCCGTGTCCCTGGGGCTGGCACTCGAGGATGGCAGCAGAAGGTCCAAATTTTATTCCTCCAGTGGTTTTTCCATCTCAGGCACCGTGTGCCCCGACTCATCCCTTCTCTTGCCTCCAAAACGATGGGTTTGGTTCTTCCTCGGTGAGATTCGGCTCTTCCCATGTGACCAAATCTGGCTCTCGGCTTCAAAGGTAACTGCTTGCTCTGACATACCCCGCAAAGGGGACAAAGCTGGAAACCGCGTGGCTGAAGGCTACCATGGCTGGTGATGCCCGGCTCTGCCAGCCAGGCAGGGGCAGCCCCTGGCACATGCTGTGTCCCCTCTGTGTCCCCTTGGATGTCATGGCCCGCAGCGGGGAAGCATCTTGCTGTCCTTACCCACAGCCCGACCCCATGAGCTCAATCCATCTGGGAGAGGAGACGGCAGCAGCTGCCCCCAACTGACATTTGGCCGGGGATGAGCTGGGTGCCGTCCCCCTGGGTGGCTCGGTGGCAACAGTGATGACCAGCCAAAGGAAGTGATGAGCCCCATCTCATCCCAGGGATAGCAGCCACTTGGCTGGCAGCAAGATGCCAAGGGCAATGCCCGGGCGATGAGAGCATCCCAGCCAGGTGGTGCGGTCCCGCAGATGGTCCCGGCTCCATGCCGTGTCCTCGGTGGCGTGGGGACGGAGCATAGCCCTTGCTGTGCTGAGATCCGGCACACCAAAACGCAGAGTCCTGGCTTATGGTGCTGGGATCCGTCCCCAGAGCACGCGGGAGGGTGACCACAGGGACCCCCCTGGGCACGTCAGGGTTGACCCCAGGCTTCACAGCTTTGCCCCCGGAGCTGCTGTCCTCCCTGCCAGCCATCCTCCCCTCCTGGCTACGTCCATCCCCAGCAGGGACCTTGCCTGGTGGGAGATGCCCGCAGTGTC